AAAAAAAATATCATGTAAAATTTAACGCACCGATTAATATAAATATATAAATAAATGAATGAATTATATATATATAAATATAAATATAAATATATAAATATATAAATAAATGTATGTATACATGTGTGTATGCGTGTATACGCGTGTGTACGCATGGCAACGTGTGTGCCTACACACGCGATCTACACTCTAACAAAAAAATGATTGATTGTGAGTCATTTAAATAATTGTTATATGTATTTTCTATATATTATGACAACTAATACAATGATATATATATTGAGATGACATTACGATACTATTAACTAAGTGTAGTTAAATTAGACGGGCGAACGCTCGCGTTACAAGAAAGAGATAGGAAAAGAAAAAATGAAAACCACGTTGGATCGCTCTAGTCCAATATTTCTATAAATCTCGCTAAAATAAAAGGGGAAGAAAGAAAAATATCGTGGCGGAAAAAATGGCGGGCCAGCGTGCTCGCGACGCGGAAATACTTTAAAAGAAAAGAAAAAAACGGAGAAAAAATAGAGATCGAAACGGTACACACTCGAAACGGGGATTTTTTTTTTCTCTTTTCTCGACGGATATCGATAATGAAAATGGCGACGCGAACTACCGGTCGCTTCGATCGTTTCGAGTGTGTTCCTTTCGCATTTGCAAAACACACAAAAAAATAAATAACACTGAGTGCAGAAATCAATGTGGAATTTGCAACAAACAAAAAAAAAATGTATTTTCTCACTCCCACTGCGAGGTGTATGTTCATCGCTACATCTTATTTGGAACGAAAACCTAAATATTATATTATTATATAAAATTACTGTATAATTGTAACGAAAATTGTTTTTCAAACGATGTGGTATTTTTATTGTAGATATTATTATATAACAAATAAAATCATGATTCATTGTAACTGTGCGTTCAATTCTTCCGATCATTATTTACTAATTTCTGGATATTCTAATGGTAGTAACTGGATATTCTGGATATTCAGTTTTTTTAAACTGTGAATCGTTTAGAGGAATATTGTTAATAGATAGTTTGTTCATTTTAATTTTTATTAACATTACTCATCAATGAAATTCTCTAATTTTTTTATTCAAGTTTTTATATTTTCAAATCTGACAATTTTCAAGTTTTCATATTTTTTAATTTTTCCTTCAAGTATGTTAGATTTAAATAATTTGAAAATTTGAAAATATAGAAATAAACTTTTTTAGAATTAATTTTTATTTAGGTAGATTTTAAAGCAATTTATCTAATACTTATCATAAAGATTCTAAACTAATTGAGATTCCCTTAAATATACAAAATTTCTAATATAAATGTATATTTTTAAATAGCTTAAAGTAGAGTTGAGACTATACGTTTTACACTCATGCAACAGGAAATACTGTCGACTATCAAAACAAACGCAAGCGTAACAAATAATTTACAGCGCTCAATCATTTTTGCAATAATTTGTGTAATACTTGCAGCAAACTCGTCAATATCCCCTTAAATACACAATTTTTAATCTAAGTTTACAATAATATATTTTTAACATTGGAATAACCATCCTTTTACATTGTTATTTATTATAAACTCTTTTTTAATATATTTAACATTAATTAAGCAAAAACAAAACTTATAATGTTTACAATTAATAGAAAGTAGAAGAATAAATTTTTATATTTTTAAATTTTCTATTCATTGAAAAGTCTACTATATTTTTCTTTCTACGAATTGAAATATGACAATTTTAAAATAAAAAATCTGAAATTTCTTTTGGTTATTCCACCATTAAAAAATAGAATATTCACAGTCGTTCAAACATTCACACAAGGATCAATAAATACAGTCACACGTATTTTCTACAAAGCTACCCGAAGGTCAACACTCCACGTACTCAGGCTTATCACAGTAATTGGTAACTGTATTAAATATTAGACCAAACTGGCAATAGAATCCTATTGGTACCGCATTTGCCTGATTGCAATGATAAAATTTTCTGCAGTTAAAAGGATCCCTGAAGTATCCTCCCTTCACGCAGGTTGGTATCAAAGGCACCGTGGGCACCGTTGGAAAAGAATGCATCGCAGGATCTTGAGGTGGCAATTGTTCCATCGATGACAATTCGTTTTCACCGATTTGATGGACCTCTATGTAATTCTTCTTTAATTTAAAAGAAGATGACAGGGTGCAGTGTAGAAAAACGATGACCAAACAGACAAGTAAGGCACGCATCTGGAAAAATATGTAAACAAATATGTGAACTTAGGTGGAAATAAGGCAAAAATATGTAAACTTGCTGTTAAGTAAAAGTTTAATTCTTGATGCAAGATTGTACTAATAGTATAATTTTAATTTTTGCAAATACATAAGTTTAAACCAATAGGGTAACATAGCAATAACACACAAGAGAAGTTACATTCTATTACACATTTAGTTTAAAAATGTCAACTTATGAATATTAGGACTTCAAACAATTGATGTTCCTTGTTGTTTAATAGTCGCTATTACCGACGTTGCACAACTACATATTTTTTATTTGGCCTTATTTGACGGACAAACTGTGAAATCTGATCCGTTTAACACATTGACCGTGTCGGTTATGATCCAAACGTGATGTAATCGAATATTAACAGGATTACCGGTGACAGATGCAGCGAATTTTGTGTAATCGAATAGTTAGGAAATGAAAGGAAGGTTAAACTGTAATTGAGTTAATATGATAGATTCTTGTTCGCCATAGGTGGGGAGGTAGGATGACGCTTTTCTGAAAACGGCAATATATCGTATCTTTTGTGTACGTTATTAGACTTGTATTATATTTTTGTATAGATTTTGCGGAAAATTAAAAAATGTTAAATTATATATAAATACGTTTATAATAAAATACATTTATATGTATTTTTATATGTAAAAGTACGTAAATAAAATTAATTATACATAAAATTTATAAATTCGAAAATTCGTAAATTTTGAAAGTTTACAAATGTGAAAATTAGTAAATTTGAAAGCTACTAATTCTAAAACTTTATAAATCTAAAAATGCATAAATCTAAAATACTGCAAACTTAAAATATTAAAGTTTCTCCATACGATAATAGCGAAATTAATAAGTGAACATCCACATAAAAATGGCAATATAACGAGACCTTCCGCAATGCAAAACAATTTCAAAAATTCGACAATGAACCAAAACAGAAATGTCTAAATTCCTGTTTTGGTAAATCTAACACATATAATTGTTTACATACACAGCCGACGCTTTCATAGTTCTGATTTATGAAACAAAGTACAGCAAAAAAGCCAGCGATAAAACATACACGCAATATTTCTATGTATAGTCTAACGAATGTCGATAAGCAAATCAATAATAGAAATAGACTCCAAACTATTGACTCAAAAATGACGTGTAACTAAATAAGTAAGAATATTATGAAACGCAGCATATACTCACATTGATAAAGTGTAAAAATGGTGCAGAGATTTGAATGATTTCAGCGTTTGGCGCGTGGTCAGATCGATCAAGATTCTGGTACGACGCTATCAGTTGCTTTTCACTAACTGGTGTTTACGATGACTGATATCATCCTTATATATGCGACACGTTTCGTACGATGAAATCATCAACGCAGTCTTACATTTATCACGCTCATAGATCCATTACGTAGAAGTTACGTTACGCGGTGAGAATACGGAGAAATGTTTAATATTTGCATTGCTCACTCAACGATAATTCGGATTTTTCACGTTGCTAAACATACTATTGCATCGATAGAACATTCCAGAAAGTGTGATTTTGACTTGTGACCTCTTTTCCGTTTCTAGAACAAGGTGATGTGACATTTAATGATCCATTCCCAGTATTTGATAAGAGAAATTAATAAAAATTTAATAACCAATGCAATCGGATGTTTGCTTTTCCAACAATTCCTGGCTTGTTTGGCTTTCTGGAATTTGTACAACTCTTATTAACATCGAAGAGAATGAAATCCGTTAATAAATATTTTAAATAAAATATAAATAATTAAATTGTTATTGTCATGGGACACAATCTTTTGTAACAAATAATTACTACTAAAGTAATTCAAAAATTAATTTATTACAATTATTTTAATAAATTATTATTCCAATACACTGAAAATACTAACTTTATTTTTATGTATTTTAAATTTTATAATCTCACGCGCTAGAACAGAACGTCTATCGCCATCTAGCAATGTGCACCGAAAATGACAGGACAGAAACCTATTTTTTTCTGAAATACGCGAATTTTGAGCTTTACAGAAGCAAGAAGAATATCCTACAACCACAATAGAACGTAAACAACTGTATCACAGTTCACGTAAAACGTTTAAACAGTAATTAAAACACCGCAATGATGTTACTCAATTTTTGTATTTTGATTCAACTGCAATTGACTTGTATCAACTTGTCAGTTATATATCGATGATCTGCTTCTTACAAATGAATTATAATACGTGTAACAAATTAAAAGTATTAAAGACGTAGAGAAGAATATGTTACCGACTTTGGAGCGTTGTTTCTTTCCATTCTTATCCCTTTTTACGCGTTAAATAGATTTGAAAGCTACTATTTTAAGTACATTATCCACCCAACACGTCTAGCAAGGTCTAGAAAGCTAAAAAAGTAAAGCATCGTAAAAAGAAGTGAACAAAAAGCTCGGTTAGTACCAGCAGTCCACCGCTATAGCGTTTTCAAGTTCTGGCGGTCTTTTTGAAAGTTGCGTAAATGTAACTTTATTTATTATTAATCTTAACAGCTCAAATAAACTACAGTGCTATTAATTAAATGCAATAAACATCACATAACGTTTGAAGTATCCTAATTTTATGCAAACTTTACTCAATTTATAAAAAAAACTATTTTTTGTTACTTTTGTTTTTCCCGCCATTACTAGATGGCGTTAACGATAATAAACATACAAAAGTACAGAACTTAGGATTTACATGATGTAGGATATTGGTTAAAGCTTTTTTTATTATGATATAATACATTGTAATAGTGTGAATATTAAATATTTATGTACACTGTTTTATATTATTTGTTTGTTTTTAAAGCAAGTCCCCTTTTTCTAAAAATTTTATAGTTCCTATAAGTCACGTGAATTGTGACACATCAGGAAACTGAGGGGCATAAGAATGTTTCCTTTCAGGCTCAATAATCTTTGTCTTATTCCTTTTAACAGGCAACACATTCATTATACTCGTAGTTAACTCTATAGGCCTTATTGATCCAAAGAAATCTGTGACTGGGACTTTATTAGGATCCCTTCTGAACAAATCTTTCCTTACTCCTACTGTTGATAAACAATAATGCTTAGGACATACTTTGAGCTGAAAAACAACAAACATTAATTCCTTGCTTGACACATATTAATTTAAAGATTTTTTGTGCAACTTACAAATTCTCCCAAAGTTTTTGAGCTTGACGGTTCTACTTTTTCTAAAAAGTCTAATGCATAATATGTATATCTATCTATAATGTAAACACCAATGGCAGGATCCAAGTGATGCTATAAACACAAAACAATATACATAATGCGACCTAAGTAAGAGATGTAAGTAACAAGAAACAAAGTATACTTTGCTGCTTACAGAAAGTGAATCTTCCCCCACTAGACTAGAAGCTACTGCTAGAATGTTTGGAGAATAAAACTTCTCGTACATTGAACTTGCTTGGCAAGTGTCAACAATAAACAAAATTTCATGGTATCTCCGCTTTTGCCACATTTGCTCCAATGCATCACCAAGCTCTTTACTAGTAATTTCTTCAGAGTCTTGGAACTTCAATATACCATTTCCACCGTGACCAGTAAGATAAATCAAAATGTTAGATCCCTCATCTGTTAACAGCTTCTTAGATCTTGGTGTTTCTGGAGCTAATCGGCCAGTTAATAACCTCACAAAATTCTCTACAGTAACTTCATAACCTCTATAGTCCACTTCAACATCATCTCCATAAACATTAATATGTTGCTTGATGTTATTGAACACAGTAGCTGGCCTAGGATTTCTTGGATTGCATGCCATATCATCCGCTATCATAAGAATAATTTGTGAATCTGGTATTCCCAAGCGTTTAACACTCCGATAAATAGACAACACATTAGCAACATGTCTATAGTTAAACCAAAAACGTGAGGTATCCACTAATACTGCCCAATTATTTGAGTGACCGGTTTTTGCGAAATTTTCCGGAATCTGTAAAAGTTATGTACACATATATTAAATACAAAAGATCTGTACGTTGTAAAAAATTAAATGTACAAACCTCTGTAGCGTAATTTAAATGAACAATACACAACGTGATAACAATTTTTAAATACATTTTAATGTAATTATGCATCACATGAATTCATGTAATTACTTAATATCCGTTATGAATTAAGACAAAATTAGGAATTTGTACAATCCAGAACTGGTGACGTTAAAATAAAATATCATTTTATCCGATTTGTCTCCATCTCAATTTATTGCTTAACTTTTTTACAATAATCAATTTTACTTTGTTTACAAACTGCACCACTGACACGATACATGCATGGATCTAGGAATATAGGGATGAAATGTGAGGTTGGATTCAGTGTTGGGCAGTCTTGAGATTTTAACTCACGCGAGAGCTTTATGCACATGCGTCAGCGGACGTCATAGCTTGCTGTCAATGCCGTACTTAGCCGGTATACGCAGTGGTGACTGATGAGGGCACCTTAATGATCCTACATAATTTTTCAAAAATTCTTATAATTGCACTGTAAACTATGAATGTATAGGTTGGGTTAGGTTAGTTACATATATGACTGTATAAAACTATACAACTATATATACATATATTATAAGTAAAATTACAATCGTAGTTCTTAAATTCTAAATTCCAATTCTATATTAAATTCTAATCGTAGCTCTTAGCTCGGTATAGTTCTCTGAAGATTTTTTAAAGCCTTCAGAGAACTATACCAATTACCAGGTCACACCACGTGGAGGTGGCTACGATAGCGACCCACCCTAACTCCAAATCCCTTCCTCCCTCCAAATGCAACCTCATTTATCAGAAGGATAAATGAGTTCT